GGATAGTCTCGTTTCTTGACCAGAAATCGATTTCTGACCCAGAAATCGATTTCTGACCTAGAAATCACATTTCCCACCCAGAAATCGATTTCTGGATTGTCTCGTTTCTTGTCCCAGAAATCGATTTCTGACCCAGAAATCGATTTCTGGGTAATCTCGTTTCTAGTCCAGAAATTAATTTCTTGCCCAGAAATCACATTTCCGATCCAAAAATCAATTTCTGGGTCAAAAATTTAATTTCTGGACCAGAAATGTGATTTCTGGGACCCAGAAATCGTTTTCTGGATTATCTCGTTTCTAGTCCCAGAAATGTGACTTCTGGACCAGAAATCACATTTCTGGTACCAGAAATCACTGATTTCTGGTCCAGAAGTCACATTTCTGGTCCAGAATCACATTTCTGACCAATAAATCGATTTCTGGGACGGAAATGTGAAAAAATCGATTTCTTGTCACGAAATCGATTTCTGGCCCAGAAATCACATTTCTGACACAGAAATGTGAACAAATCGATTTCTGTGTCAGAAATGTGATTTCTGGGTTGGAAATTTGGTTCCTAGAAATCGTTTTTCTAGATTATCTCGTTTCTAGTCCCATAAATGTGATTTATGGACCGGAAATCGATTTCTTGACAAGAAATCGATTTGTAGTCCAGAAATAGATTTAAATGTGATTTCAGGACAATAATCGATTTCAGTCCAGAAATAGATTTCAGGGTTAGAAATGTGATTTCTGGTTAAGAAATCGATTTCTGGACAAGAAATCGATTTCTGGGTTAGAAATTGAATTTCTGGTCCAGAAATCGATTTCTTGTCCAGAAATCACATTTCTAACCCAGAAATCACACATGTGGTCCAGAAATCTATTTCTGGACCAAAAATTCAATTTCTGGACCAGAAATTTGTTTTGAAATTGTTTGTCATTATTTCTTGTCCCAAAAATCTGTGTGATTTCAAAAATCATTTTATAAACTATTTTATTTGATTTTTTATAAACATTGATTACTTAATTCTTAAATAATTATTTGAAATTGTTTGTCATTAAATACTTTTACATCTTTGGTTTACAGATGTGTGAAAAAGTTCGAATTGTGCATAGCGGATTTTGGGATGACAATGTTTATAAAAATGGACAGGCAGAGATGAACTTTATGCGCTTGGGGAGTTTATCGTATGAAGACTTTTTAAATAGAGTTAATGACATTGTTGGTGGAGACAAACACACATTGTTGGCCGAATTGTTCCAAGTACCTACTATATATGTTACCTTGTGAGCCAAAGATCGTGAAATAAGTGAATTTTCTACTAAACCACCAACCAACTTCCATTCTTTTGCGGGGGGGAAAGGAGGATTTTTTAACTTAATTGTTGCTCCAGATCAACCGTTTTACACGGTGAACTTAGGCTATAAAATTGATCAATAACTGCTCAAGGTCAATTGTTTTACACTCAGTTTGGAGAGTTTGTCGTACGAAGACTTTATAAATAGAGTTAATGATATTGTTTGTGGAGACAAACACACGTGTGAGTATCGATTTCACTTCATGATGGCCAAAACCAGACTACAAGACAACAGTTTATAAAACTACTTAAGGGGTGTGTACAAGTGTCTATCACTCACTAGAAATTTTCAAATTAAAAGCCAAAAAATTTAGTCATATAGTCATCCATTTACACCACAATCTTTTGATTTTGATAGATCATGCTTAAAGTAATTCCCATAATTGATGTTTATTGAGCACTTTTTATTGGCTCGTGTAATTAGGCTTCCGTCTCTCGGCAAATGCAGCGAGACCTTCCAGGCGATCTTTTGTGTGCAAGTGCTGCTCATAGCATTCTTCTTGAGCCAAACATGTCAACAAATCAAGCTCCAATCCTCCATCGATAGCTTGTTTCGCCACACGTATTGCAAATGTCCCTATCACAGATAAAGGACTTCATATCGATGTTCTTTTGATCATGAAAGGTGAAGGAATGAGGAAAAAGAGAACTTTTACTATGCATTAACTAGATAACCAAAAAAAAAAAGCAACCCTCAAATTCTTGCATAAAGGAGGTGAAAAACCGGTATATTAGTTAAGATTAGTGACACCCAAATATTATGGTCATTCTTCACCGAGAAGTGTGTTTCATTTATTCCTGCTTATGTGACTAATAATATCTCCAAGGAAGAGAATATCTCATCTCAGTTTACCTTCTGATTTATATCACGAGAAATTTCAAGAGCTTTCGAACGAGCATCATTAGCAGGGACACAATGATTGACATGTCCTGCAAAGAAATACAATATTAGAGTGTCTTCTTCGCACTAATAGAAAAGCCGAGTAAATTATCTCATATCTGGGATGTTAATATTTATTAAGATGAAAATAAAGAAAAGTTTGATATACCCATGGACAATGCATCTCTGCCACCAATTTTTCGAAGGACTTTCCAACTAATCTAGGAAGCCTTTGTGATCCTCCAGCCCTGGAAAATGCTTTTCATCAAAATTAGGTAGGTACACCTAGAAGATATTTGCTACTTATTGGAGCACTTAATTAATAGATATATATAGTCGTATAGCAATCAAATAATAATAATAATCATAATAATAATATAATGAGGATGACATGGATTCATTCATAACCAGTGGGAGAATTTTAGGAGCTGGCCCCAAACTAAATGTTTTGTTGTGTTCTTAGTAATTTTAAGCTTGTACTTGCGTTAAGCCATTCTCGGTAACTTTTGGCTTCTCTCAAAATAGATATTTTCACGATAAACAGCTAAACTGATTATATACTTTCATTTGGTATTATTCATCCAGGAAGGAATAATGATGAAACAAATTTGGAGGGAGGAATGGAAGTTTTTTTAGAATGTAAAAGGACATATGGTGAAAAAGTAATGATTAAAGTTAAATCTGATATGGAAAAAGTAAATAATGATTGGTAAATAAAATTATCTGGGCGGATGATCGGTAAGTTTTATAGAGAAATGTATAGTGGTAATTGATTCTTTTTTTTTTTTTAAAAAAAAAAAAGAATAATTCTCCAGTGGGAAAAAGCCTACCTGCAAAAGAAGCTTGGAAGTCCGGTTGCAACCTGTAGCATCCTCATGGTTGAATACTCTTTTCATGCTCCCAACACTAGTTGGTGTATTCTCGTATAGATATTCGAATGAATTGATTTCAGACCCTCTTTCATTTGTTATGTCGGAGGATTCTTCAAAGCTGTTCAGCCCAGTCATGCTATCTGTAGTCCTCGAATTTTTATTTGACATCAAGGACTCGATCTGCTGCTTTAAGGGAATGATTGTTTCGTGCATCTCTGTGTTCTCCACTGTCTAAAATACAGATAGTAATTCATCACATGGTATATGGTATAGCATTAGCACAAGACAAATTTAGTAATTTAGCCAATGACCATTTTACCTTCTCTTGCAGTTGCTCCTGGAGGACTCTGTTATCGGCAGAATTGATCTACGTAAATTGTGGGCACAATTAGTTCGTAATTCCAGTTGAAAGTATGTTAGACAGATAACAATCATCAAATTTGGGTTCGACATACCTCAAGCTCAAATGTCTTCTCATTTAGTTCAGCAGCAAACCTGGACAATGTCTGCATGAAGACCCCATATAGAGATACAATTGTAATAATAACACGTTAGAAAACAAATATACGCATATATTTTGCATGATTTTCTCAATTCATGACTTAAAATATAGTTTTGACATTGTTACCTGCGACATCTCAACAATGCTTGAACCATAAGGAGATATCTCCACTGATCCAATCATCCGTTGCTCTAAAACCCCAATTTGATGCTTTTTTTCTCGTATTTCATCCTTCAACTTTTGTACCTTTTCCTGAATCAAGTTGCCGTGATAACAAGCAGAATGATCCTCCATTAGAGCTATGCAGTCTAAACTCTAGAGCTCAACTTTCCACAAGTTTTGCTTGATGACATTGTGTATTATTTACTTAATCTGGGATGCGGAAGAAAATCTAACGCATACAATGTAAAACCAGAGCTAGCATTGAGCTTCTTTACCTGAAGTTTGGAGTCTCCAGGGGCCTTAGCTGCTTGCTCTGATAACCGTTTCAAAGAACTGGTTGATAAAGCTACTTCTCCAGCTAACATTTTTATCTGCTCACGGAAAAGTTCCATTTGATCTGTAATGGTGCTCCCAGACTACAAGACACATAGGATTCGAATTTAGATAAATATCGTGAAACTCGTGAACTAATAGCTATTAGCTCGTAAAATTCAAGTTGTTTATGTGCATAGTTTATGCTCGTAAAAAACTGTTTATAAATCATACTACTACTTACCGGTGGTAGGCGTCTCATGCCTCCAGCTACGCTGATCAAATCACCCGCTTGAGTTCGTTCACGAAAAGAATCAGCAGTAGAGATACCATCTACTTTTCTACCGATCGATTTCCTCGAAGCGTCTTTTGTGTCACTGAACATAACTTTGCGTTGTGATGATTTTGATGATGAAGCAGACGATTCACTTGCCGAACAACTCTCATTATCGGCGCTCAATGACGAGAGTATGCCATTTTCAAGCTTCTGAACCCACAAAATAAAAATATTTTGTTTCTTATTAAAAAATAAATAAATAAAAACAATAAACCTTTGCATATTGCTCATCTAACAAGAACAACAATATGAGGCTGAGAACAGAAAAAGAAGCATCATGGGGCATACCTTTAATTTGAACCAGCCAAGCATCCATCTCCCTTTGTTCCTCTTGTAATCCTTGACTATATCATCAAGACTCACGGCATCCCTCTTATCATCCATAGAAACTTCAGAATGACAGAATCAATACTTCCAACATCTTCATCAATCATGCTTTCTCGTTTTCTACCGGGCAAGTAAGCTAGCTGCATGTGACAGGCAGATAGATACAAGGGGGAACATAGAGAGAATTAAGATTCAATACAAAGTAATAACATCAGATGACATGGTAATAATATCTTGTCTATCATTATAAAGACGCTGGATTTTGTTTTCAGTACCTCATCTTCTCAGGACAAACTTCGCCAAAGTCCTAACATTTGTTACAAGTCCAATCAGACTAATATTACACACAAAACACATAACCATTTTTCAAAGAAAATTATCAAATTAAAAAGAAAAAATCCTCAAATATCCAGACTTCACAACTAGCATACCATGTAAGAATATCCACGAGCTTCACGAATTCTTTTCAGCTCTGGATCTATTTCATAGTTGTCAGCATCTGACCTCCAGCTAAGCACTCCAAGCTCTACGATAAAATGAAGAAACCCTAATCCAAATCTGAGTTTGGAAAAAAACCATAATTCAAACCAAAAATACACTAATACAAACAAAAAAAACCCTAATTCGAACATGAATGGACTTCTAATTCGAAACAAAAAAAAAAAAAAAACTATAATTCGAACCAAAAAGTGAGGTCGTCACTTTCACTACCTGATTTCAGATTCCGGCGAGGTCATGAAGAGTCTTGAAGGAGAGGTCGTGAAGTGTGAAAGGCGGAGGTGGAACTCCCCGGACGGTGTTCGGTCGTGAAGATGAAGGCGAGGTCGAGGTCGAGGTCGTGAAGGCGAGGTCGATGGAGAGGTCGTGAGGTCGTTCGCACGGTGTCCGGACGAGGTCGAGTTCGAGGTCGTGAGGTCGAGGTCGTGAGGTTTGGCCTGAAGAAAGATGTTTTCTCTGAAGATGAATTTTCGGACGCGGGTCGGCGGGTGGATGAATTTTGAAATGAATTGAATTGAATGGGAAATAAAAATAGTTTAGAGTTAAAATTAGGGGTAGTTTAGTAAACACACATGTCAAAATGGCTAAAAAAGATATTTTTTTGTAAACATGGCTAAAATTTGTGTTTTGTATATTTATATGGCCATTTAGTGGTACTAGTAAGGTGAACGTGCGATGCACGTGGTGACAAATATTTTTGGCCGATTAAGTTTAGTAAGATAAATTAATTAATTTATTAAACATATGATTGTAGGAACAAAATAA